TTTCCCCAGGCCAAGCGTGTGGGTGACGCGGGGGGATGCAGAGGGGCAAAGCTGTTGGCTCTGTGGCCGTGTCTTCTGCCATTTGAAAGGGGTGATGCGAGAGGGGGCTGGAGATGGCCGGAGGGGACCGTTCTGCGGCTTTCAGGCTCCCGCTGTTAGTGCCCAGCGCAGGACAGCAGGCAGGGCGGCCTGCGCAGGCACTGGGGGAGCAGCAGGTCCTCATGCTGCCTGCCCACGTCCTTGCATCATGGTAGATGCATATGCACGTGGCACTGAAGTGCTTGGGGACATTGGAGCAAGCAGAGGTCGTCACTTGTCGGGGGGATGGCAGCCGGGTGTCCCTGGCTGCTCACAGGCAATTTCAGATCCCAGATGTATTTGAAGCCAGAGCCTGGACTCGGTGGGAGGTTTCACCAAAGATCCCCACTTGTAACAGCCACGTGGTGATCGTCTCCCTTGCCGCAGCTGTGTGGTGTTGCTAACGTGGTCTGCAGCCAAGATTTGGGCTGGAATTTCCCCCCCCCCAGCCATATTGCAGGGATTTCATCGCACCAGTGGCAGACCTAATTGTGGTATTTAATTATTGTACGTGCCTCTGTGCAGGCGCATGTATTTAGAGGCATAAAAATCACAGACTTTTATTGCAGGAGGGGGCTGCTGATGGGCTTGGCCGGTGCTTTGGTTGCGGTGCTGCAGCTGGTGAGTGGGGAAGGCTGTTCTCCTCTGGCGCAGGAGCTGATTAAGGAGGGAGCGGCCCCAGAGAGACTCAGCAATGAGTTTTGGCCCAGTTGGTTTGATAGCAGGTTAATTAAAATAGTGTTGTGCTGGCAGAGCAAAGGCTTCAGCTGGCCGTGAGGGACTCAGTGAAGGAACTAAAGCTGAATTTATTCTTTAAGGAGGTCTGTGAGAGCTTGCTGTAGGTGGGGAGAGGGTCCCCAAGCTGCTTGCTTCCCCATCCCTTGCTGGGCAGTGTTGCTGCCATTTCCCTGCTAACCTGGCCTTTCTCTTCCCATTCACTAGGTCAAGCTGGGAGCTGCCCGACCTGCGAGAAGGAAGAGTAAAAGCCATCAGCGATTCGGATGGCGTGAGCTACCCCTGGTATGGAAACACCACAGAAACTGTGACCCTGGTCGGGCCCACTAACAAGATCTCCAGGTTCTCGGTCAGCATGAATGACAATTTCTACCCCAGCGTGACATGGGCTGTCCCTGTGAGCAACAGTAACGTGCCACTGCTGACCAGGATTAAAAGGGACCAGAGCTTTACCACGTGGCTGGTGGCCATGAACACCACCACCAAGGAAAAGATCATCTTGCAGACTATAAAGTGGAGGATGCGTGTGGACATAGAGGTTGATCCCATGCAGCTGCTGGGGCAGCGGGCTCGGCTGGTGGGAAGGACTCAGCAGGAGCAGCCCCGGATCCTCAGCAGGATGGAGCCCATCCCACCAAACGCACTAGTGAAGCCCAATGCCAACGATGCCCAGGTCCTCATGTGGAGACCCAAGCGAGGCCAGCCTATAGTTGTGATACCTCCCAAGTAGAGCAGCGCTGGGGCGTGCACATGAGGACCTGGATGCTGCCAGCCTGCTGCAAACGAACGGGGTTTCTGAGCCAAAGCAGACCCCTTGGGTTCTCCTGCCTTTGTAGCTGTGGTTGAAACATGGCTCCTCTTTAGTCAGAAAGAGAACCTGGTGGGTGCGGGGGTGTGGAAGAGGGACCGCTCAGCTGGAGGATTTCCCAGGAAGCAGAGTTGAGTACTTCCAGGGGCTTGTGGCTGGCAAAGAGGCTGTCTGACCTAAATGACTCGTCTTTCCTTGCAGGGCAGTGCAAGGAGCATGAGTGCGATTGAACCGTGCCTGTGGCAAATGCTACTTTCCACCCAACTGGAGGTAGAAGTGGAGACCGTGCCTGTGGTGACCCTTCCCACCGGGGCGCGGGTATTCCTGTGGTGTCTATACCTATGCATTTTGGATCGATAATTGCCCCCTCACCCTGCCTGCTGGGACTGGGCAGGAGGGCCTGGGAGTGGAGCCAGGGCCTGGTGCTGGCCGTTGCTGCTGCCCAGGAGGGGTTTTCAAGCCGATGGGAAGCGGGACACATTTTGCATGCGTCTGGGTGTGTTTGGAGTAGTTGTGAGTGTAGGAGATGCCATAGCTCTTTTCCGTCTTGGAGTGTGATCTAAGGGCAGGTTAGATGTCCTTTTGTTTTAAGGTGCACTAAATCTTTGCAATTCCTCCACACACGCACCCCCCCAC